TGGTGCTCTGAGGGTGACACCAAAGGCTGTCCTCCAGCTTTCATACACAAGTGCACACATAGGCACCTGCATCCAAGCAAACACACACATGTGGGTACACCTACAATTAAGGAGGAACGCACTTGTTATACTTTACGGTAAGCATTGATGTTCTCAATGATGGGCTGCTGGATTTCAGAGGTGTCTCAGGGTCAAAGCACCGTGGGGAGGAAAGGGTTTATTTCACATATCACAGTCCATCACTGTAGCAGGTCAGGGAAGGAACTCAAGGCAGGAACCTGGAGACAGGAACTGACACAGAGGCCATGGCGGGGTGCTGCTTACTGTCTTGCTTTCTGGCTTGCTCAGCCTGCAGGAACCTAGGACCACCAGCCCAGGCAGCACCCACAGTGAGCTGGGCCCTCCTCCATTAGTCATCAACTGAGAAAATGCACCACTGCTCAATCTGGTGGAAGATTTTCTCAAGTGAGACTCCTTCCTCCAAAAGGACCTTAGCTTGTGTCAAGCTGACCTAAACGTGTGAGCACAGGAAGGCTTGCGCCTGCCAGTGCAGAGTTGCCCCAAGTGTCTGGCTTAGGTGCTTGCCACGGTCCTCAGGCTTTCCTAGCAGAGAGGTGGCTTCGAAAAGGAGTGCAGGGAAGATGAGCTGTGCTTCTGCTGTTAGTGATGCATTGTAGGGCTTTTCTGGTAAGCACCTGATGAGGCCAACACAAGCACACACCACAGTGAGCTGCACAGAGCTTTAACAGCAATGTCAGCTGGCAGACACCCTCACCAGCCCTGTGTTTTAAAAAGTTACAAATTTGTTTATGTCAATCATGTTAATGGTATCTAGACTACTTTTGAATTATTGCTGGGCTGAAAATCATAATATAATGTCAAATCACTCCACTGTAAACTGTAGCATAGAATGATATCATTGTGAAGAGTCTAGTTCCATGTCAGGTATGTCCAGTTGTCCAGAAACCCATTCTGCAGACTGCTCCCAGCCTACAGGACTGAGGCTGAAAGTCTCTGTGTTCATCAGTCACTCCCTCCCCAGCCTTTGGCACTGATGGCTCCTGTATAAACTGCTCCCCTCGGGTGCACAGCAGGTGGGGAGCAGAGGTGGGCCCTGAGCTCCGGTTTGTCTAGCCCTGAAGTTCCTTCCTGTAGCCCATAGGTTTCTGAGGGGCCCAGCAAGGCCCAACCCACGGTGCACGGTCCAGGAGGGGAGGGCCAGGAGAATCCTTTTTTGATTGAAGGTCTGTGGATCCACTCGCAACTAGTTGAGTCACCCCCAGTTTCCGGAGGCGACTCAGGGCAGTACAGATCCTGCCGGGTAAGCAGGGAGTGTGGGGGAGGGGAGGACTCAGAGCCTGGAATTCTTCCCACCCTGAACAAGAACCCAGTGGCTGCCAGACTGCTTATTTCAAAGTCAGTTTCATGGTTTCAAGACAGAGAACAGAGGCTCTGCTGTGTAGTGGAGTTGGAGGGGTCATGGAGGGACCGGTGGGTGTAGGGTGTAACACCGGGGACTGCAGCTGGAAGAAGGGATCCTCATACCAGTGAGGGGGGTGGGGTGGGGTGGAGCAGTAGGCAGCGTGCTCAGATGCGGGGTCTGTGAGGCCTCTGGGATGTGACATTCTGAGAGAGACCCGAGTGGAAGCTAGGAAATAGCCTTCCGGGTCCAGGGGCAGCAAAAGTCAGGGCTTTGCTAAGGTTGGGTGGGAATAGGGCTGGATTTTGACATCTGAGTAGTCATCTGCAAGGGGCACACATCTCCTGAGCTGAGAGCCGAGTCTCTCCATGCTCCCTCTTTTTTATTTTCTCTGCTTTTGCTGTCGCGTTTCTAGAAAGAATATGGGTGCTTTTTTACCGAAAAGGCCAGGGCCTGGGTTCTGGCCCAGATCTTCCTTGAAGAAGAGTGAATAGGCTGGGTGGAGTCTCTGGGGTCAAGTGACCCTTTGGTTTCTCTCGTTGCCTGGGAGGAAAGCACCCCATTGTTTCCAAAAGAATTCATCAGGGTGTGTGACTATATGTGCTTTATAATTAGAATAGGGGCCTCCTGGTTTGCGTTGCAGCTGGAGGGAACCGGCTCCTCGGAATTCTTGCAGCCTTTTCAACAGGCAGCACGAGCTCTGGTGGCACGGTCACCTCCTTCCTCTAAGCCGAGGATGGAATGTGTCACATTCCCAAGAAACAATTTTCTTCAATAGGTCTTTTTAGAGGATCTATAAATTAGTCTCATGGTGTTGTGGTATGTAGAACACAGTAAACACAGACACACACACACACACACACACACACACACACACACACACACACACA